TCAATGTTTCGCATAGACGAAATATAATCTTGCATAAGTATAAATTCAAAGTGTTTTAATACATTGGCGAGAGGTCGCATTTTACATGAACAAGAACATGCACTAAGAAGGAAGAGCAAGCTGAAGTCGAAACGGGGTGTATCATGGACTTCGTACAACATGCGCTGCGACTATTGAATGATCGTCGACATCATTTTGGGGCGCAATTGAACTTAAAGTACTTTGCGAAACTTGCTACATGGCGATGCTGACTTCAAGTCGGTGGTGAAAAAAGTTTGACCGCAAGTCACACTCTGAACTGGCGCGTTACCTTGGCAACCTTTTTCTTTCATGGTCCGGCCGCGTAAAATCATTATTGTATCCGGCGGGACTGTAATAACACAACTTGTAGGCAAATGTGTTTTGGCTTTGAATATCTTTTACTTATATGTTTTAACTCACAAATACCATGAAGAAGAGAAAGGCAACGTCGTTTTTTGAAACAAAAAACAAAAACCACGTCAATGCAAGATGCATTATGCGTGCAAGGTTAGATTTATAGAACGTACATGACCGTATCATGTCGCACGTGAAAAACACGAGACTTTTTAGTTCGTCCATTTCTTGTTTACCGATCTTGAACATTTTGTCTGAAATGCAATACAGACAAAGAATAAACAATGATACCTACCGTTGTCAAATCAACAAGAGGCTCGAGTCAGGAAAGCTGGCTATTTTAAACTTTATTAAAATAGTGGGCCGATATTACCATGTACTTAGTATTTCCACGCCAACAAAGCTCGCAACCTGCTCGATTTAAAAACAGCTATTTGAAACAAAGACTTGTGGAATCACAAAGGAAACTGTTCAGTACGTATTTCACACTTTTCCTATGACCGCGGTTGCAATCGATATTTAGTGGCCACCCCAAATTATAAGCAGTCGCGGCGATGACCATGGTGAACTGCCCGTTCGATTTTCTACTCTCCCCTTAAATATCCCCGGTTTATACTGTGGTTTCTTTCATTCAAATCTTGTATTAGTAAAAAGCTAGCATGTAATTCAGGGCAGAAATCAGCACAATATATTATGTACGTGAAAAAATAAAAATGTTAAGCGTCCATGACATGTCAGTGTCACTTCCCGTCTGACACGGCACAGCACAGCACGTCTGTTTGGTTTGAGCTCTGACTAGCAATACCCGGTACAAGTCTGAGGTTTGCGAAAGGTTTCTTTTACTGAACACAAATCAAAGGTGTTATTGTCAAACTGAATTGATATATCCAAGAAACGAATGATTACCGAATTTGTACAAAAATCGAAGTACAATTTGTACGACTTTACGTTAGTCAGTATTTTTTCGAATCGCGTGTGAACTGAATGCACACATTTTTGCCAACGATGTAAGAAAAAATGATACTTTGTATGTCGTACTGCATGATTCTAAATAACCATCTTGCAACGTCACTACGTCATTTTTTTATATATTTGAATCTAGATCAAAATGACATAAATAAGTAGTTTTATTTTTTATTAACACTAAAACGTTCGCACAAATTCAAATACTGAAGTCTACAGACTAAGTCTTTTCGACCAGCTTTGTTGCACACGTGATCACGTAACACAGAACCATATTGTTCTCATTTGCATGCAAACAAAGCTATAAAAGTTAATGAGCTGTCTGCGCTAACGTGCATTAACGAAGCGTTGGCATGGTCCTAACGCGATCTTAACGTGGCGTCAACGTAAGTCAATGCGTTAGGTAAGTAAGTTTTGAGTTGTACTGTATGGTACCAGTAATACTAGTAAAAAAATATACATGTATAATAAAACATAATGAAACCTTGGAAAGGTTTGGGAAACTATTTTTTTCAGTGAATAATGGCAAGGTGATTAGGGACAACATCAAAAGTTCAATGTAGAATAACAAACTTAATTCCTTTAGTTTTTTCCCCAAACCCCTAACCCCCACTGAAACTTAATTGATAAATATTGATCACGTCGTCAGACTACATTCACCATTAAATACAAATTGATAATCTGACAGTAGTATGGCATAGCAGTTGGTTCTAGGTCCATGCCCTGAAATTGACCTCATTGGACGCACATATTTACACTCGGACCAAACCATTTTCTCGTCTTGGATGTTTGTTTTTTTCATTTTCTGTTATTTTTTTTATTTTTTTTTTGGATAGAAAAAAACACGAACTACAACAAATACTCCATGATTTTTTTGACTTCATTAAAAAATAAAATCGTTTTTGTAGGATGGAAACTTTTTGAGGTCACCCCCATCCCCAAACTAAAGCAAATAAGTTTTTTATCCGACATCGATCTTTTGACGTTCTCCCTTAGAGAAGGGCTACATATATAGTGTTATTTTCCCTCAAAGAGGTAATAACACCCTCAATCTGTCACATGGTGAATTAAAAATTGTCATTTGTACCCTTTTCCGAGGGAGGTGCTGGCACATAAAACAAGCAGCCTGTTGGCCGAGATAGCTCCACTGTTAACAATGCACATTTCAATTAAGAATTGAAGTTATCTTCAGAAAATGAACAATATGTATTGTATCAAAACAATCTGACTTGCCGTTTTCAACAAGAAGTCGAAAATATAATTTACCAAAAATTACAAAAATATTCACCAAAATTAGAGAATTAAAGCTATCATCACAAAATG